CCTTCCACATAAGCAGGCTGCTGCCACTGCCGCCGCTCCCGCCGCTGCTGCTGCTGCTGCTGCTGCTGCGGCAGATACTATGACTTGGAAGCTGCTTGGGGCTCCGCTCCCAGCCAGCGAAAAGTAACCTTATTTATTTAATTCTGTGCATGCATTCAGTCGACAACGCTCCTCCGTAAGCAGCCGGAACAAGGCACCCCCTCGGACTTTTGGGGAAACCTCCTTGGAGATCCATCTCCCTCTGGCTGCCCTAGTGCAGCTTGGGAGCGTTCCCTGGCTTTTTAACAACGTATCCCAAGAAGAGGACCCTCCCAGCGAGAAAACCGAGGTGGGGGTGGGCAGAGAACCCCAGCCAAGGAAAGCTTCCTGAGGCGGGGGAGAGGAGGTTGGGGGGTGTGTGGGGGGAGGTGGGGAGAGAGACAGACAGACAGAAGGAGGAGGAGGAGGTGGGAGGCTCCAGGCTTTCTCGCCTCTAATTTCAAAGCTAGCTCTCCTTTCCAGGTTGGGTCGGACCTGAAACCCTAAAAGCGCAGAAATCCTTCAGCCCCTCCATTGCCTTCGGATCCCAAGAAGCAGCAGCCGCGGCTGTGCCTGAGGACGGAGTTTGCTCTTGAACTCGATGGATCTGAACTTTGGGCTGCAGAATCATCAGTGCGGCTGTTGGGGGATCGCTACGTGCTGATCTCCGGCAAGGGACGGCTGCTAATTATTATTATTATCATTATTTTTTTTTGTGGGGGGTGAGCAGTAGCTGGGCGCTCGGCACGATGTTTCTTGCCACCTTGTACTTCGTGCTGCCGCTCGTGGGTAAGTTGTCCTTTTTCGAATGTGACAGATCCCAGTGTCCCCCTCCCCCAGCTCCCAGCACAGGGTGGGATAGGGGAAAGTGTGTGTGTGGGGGGTGGTGAGGTTGTTTGGGGGAACTGGATTACATTATTAATCCTTTTATAAAGAAACTCCACAGGTTTGGGGGGGGGCAGTTCTTCCTCCCAACCCCCAACCCGTTTGTGATTTTGCTTTGCCTTTTTTTTTTTTTTTTGCTTTGTATGACCTTGTCTCGATTCCCCCTGCAGTTTGCATCCAGTGGGGCACATCACTGTTCCTTTTTTTTTTTTTAAAACCTCGGAACACCCCAGGGTAATTATGGAAGCGATTTGATTCCGGTTAGAGAGAGGGCAAAAGATGTATTGGAACAGCGAACTTATAGGGAAAAACTTTTCCCAATTCGCTTACCCGCCCAACGTTTGCTGCTGGAATAACTGGTTGCTTGCGTGCCTCAGTTTACCAATCTCGTCCCCAGAGACTCCCTCGGTTCCCCTCCTCCCACTTACTTTCCATCTGTTTTATAAATCCAAATCATCTCTCACCACGCCTGCCTCAACCCCAGCGTTCCAGCGCCTTGGCGTGGGCAGTGGGTGTTTTTTCACTGGAAGCCTTGAGTAGTGGGTAGGAGGGTTGGGGAAATTTTTCACTTTTGTGCCTAGCCCAAAAGGCCTCGAGCCTGACAGCAAGTAACCCGGTTTTGCATTAACCTCGGAAAGCAGATGCAAGGGTAGAATTCTCCGTTTGGGGCTGAAAAGCCCAGTGCTCCCACAAGTTGAAGTGGGGCAGGCTGGGCTGACTGCTGTCTTCCTTTCTCTGGCAGCCGCTTATTGTGTGGGGAGCAAACCTGAACCCTTACTGGCCACATGGCAAGCCACTCACCAAGCCAGCTCAGTGGGAGGGTGAGGGCACTGATTTAGGGCTAGGAGGGGAGTGACGGTCTCCAAAAGGCCAGCAAGTAGTACCCCCCAACCCCTTACCATACATTTTCTTTCTATACATTTAAATAAAAGTAATTCCCTCCTCAATATGGGTAATAATGCAAACAAGAAAGTGAATGGAAGGTTTTTAAGCCCCTAATTAACATGCTTAAAATCAGGTTCCCTTTTATAAGAGCAAAGTATCGGGGGAAGGTGGGGAGCAGAGTCCCTGGCTGCCTTCCAGAGGCTGATTCCTTTACCTAAAGGGAACGTTGTATTTCTCACCCTTCGTTCCCTTTCTTCCCCCTTCCTAGATATTCTTTTGACAGCTGAAGTCAGTGGCGGGGACCATTTGGACTGTGTGAAAGCCAGCGACCAGTGCCTCAAAGAGCAGAGCTGTAGTACCAAGTACAGAACCCTGAGGCAGTGTGTGGCGGGCAAAGAGACCAACTTCAGCCTGGCATCTGGGCTGGAGGCGAAGGATGAGTGCCGGAACGCTATGGAGGCTCTGAAGCAGAAGGCACTTTACAATTGCCGGTGTAAGAGGGGCATGAAGAAGGAGAAGAATTGCCTGCGCATTTACTGGAGCATGTACCAAAGCTTGCAGGGTAGGGACCCAACCCCCACCCGGACTCCTTCAATTAAGCCCTCCGCCCCGCCCCACCTCGCTCCCAGCCTCACTTATCATTTCCCTCCCAGCTTTCTCTCCAAGCTCCCCCTCATTCCAGTCCCCCACTTCCCCCCTTAATCACGGACAGGCTGGCCACACTGCATGCAGCAAGCCCAGTCGAAGGGAGCTGACCTCATCCTCCACTTGGTTGCTGTTCAGTTTGAGAATGAGAACCTTTCATCAGACCCAGGCAACATCAGCAGCTGGTGTTTCCTGCTGCTGAGGCAGTCGTGGCTCCCTTGTTCTCCAGCAATCCACATAGGGATTATGAGGTTAGGGGGCGTCCTCCAAGGTTACCCGGGCGACCTTTTTAAAGAGATTCGGGCCCGAACAGAAGTAGAGGGCCATCCCAAGAATTGGGAGTTCTCCTTTAAGACAGTTGGCTTCCACAAAGATCGTTGGGAACTTTTAAGAGAATGTGCCCTGAGTACATTACTTTTTTGTTTTTGTTCTTCCCATCACTCATAGAATTAGTGGTTATCCTTGATGAGGAAAGATGCGAGTATTAACTCTAAAAAGGCCAGAGATTTCCCCCCCTGTATTGACTCCCCCCAAAAAAACAAACCCTGATCAGACTGTGAAAAGCCATTTGTTATCTTAGATGAGCATAAGAAGGGTGTCTTGAACCAGCTGGTGTGGTTAAACTTTGGATAACAGAAATAGCTCATTGGAGAAGAAATCCACTTGTCACCAGTGCCTATTCCAAGGGGAATTTCTGTTCTTGAGCCCTAGAGGCCTTTTGCTTTTGTTGATCTAGTACCCACGTCCTGTTCATTCAATCATCCACTGAAACTGTCACTGAACACCTGACAGTGTATGAATTTGACCTTGATTTGCCACCACTTCCATTAAAACTTTGGAACTTTCTTGGAATCTAGTTTGATTTCTTTACATCTACAATTAAAACGGTCCATCATAAATTATCCCATTTTTAGCTGCAGTACCTGGTTTCTGGTTACTAATGTAGAATTTTTACTAGAAGAGATGGTTTGCTTCTTTCCACCCTTATTTCCATTGGCTCCAGGAGACAGGCAGGACTTGTGATGTCACTAGCTTGTTCCTCTGTGATTTCATCCCATTTTGTAGAGTGGGGGAGTTTCTGGCAAGACACACTGGATTGCTCTCCAATGTTTTCATGGCACCCTGGGGAGAGAAAAGAACAACAAAAGAGGAAAGAATTAAAAGAAATAAACAACCCACAAAGATGAATTTTAAATCTTTGGAAGTCTCAGCATCATTTTTTTTTTCTGTGCTATAGATAATAGAATAGCGAGTGAAAATAATGTGTATGCAATTATTTCTTTAAATAGAATAAGTAGAATTCAGTAAAAAATATAATACTAAGAGCCCCAGGTAGCTTCAGATAATCTGCTTGAAAAATAGCCCAATTTTTCTTTCACTTTTAGGAAATGACTTGCTTGAAGATTCCCCATATGAACCAGTTAACAGCAGATTATCAGATATATTACGACTAGTCCCACATATGCCAGGTAAGCAGATTTATAGCTCTTCATTGAAAATGCCAGCTGCCTGTATTAAATGAACTGCTTTGAATTCTGTTTAACTCTGCATTAGTGTAGGTAACAACAGTAAGATGACTTTGTGTATCTGGGAAATTATAGGTAAACTGGACAAAGTGTAAATCTTTCTAAGAGGATTTTGTGGTTTTTAAAGTCTAAAATGAAATTATTTAGTTGGGAAAAAGCAAGTGGCTGTTCTTAGTTGTGTGTAGTGGGTTTAAAAAAATAGATTGGTCAACTCTTGGGAAGGAAATGCCAGTTCTACCTGTAGGTGGCAATAAAATTCCCTTCTTTATCATACAGTAGTAGCTGTGCCTAACTCACATAATTTGTTACTTACATTACAGAAGATCTGAAGATAATCTTTGGTGGTGGTGGTGGAGGGAGGTTTGATGAACTCAAGTGTTGTTTTCCCTGCCTTTTAACTTAAAGGATTACATCGGCTCATTTACAAAAAATAATCCCTTCAGATCAAGAATAAATCAAGTTTGTAATGTTGTAAAGAACATATTCCTGTGCTATCATGTCTTCAAAAGTATTACTTCAAATTGTGTATTTGGGCCTTGAGAGAAGTTTTTGTTCTGGTCTGAATGAAAGTGATATTATTTAAGGTTTTCCTAAGCATAGTGAAGGAGAGGCATGTTTCATAATGATAAGCATGTTTCAGACAGATGTTATGGGATATTCACTGTTAATATTTCCCATAAGAAGATCTATCCATCAAAAATGGTAGTTTGTTTCTAAGTGGCAAAACATAGGGACTGATGTTGAATTTAATACCATATCATAATATAACTTGTTGTTGGTACAGATGCTATATATTCTAAATACCTAATTTACCTTGTATGGCATGCAGAAGGGGGTCCAAAGAGCCATAGCAATAACAAGCTGGAGAGGAAGGTTACTAAGGTAGGAGGAAAGAAGGCAGGTCCAGTGTTGGGATATTAACATATTATTGAAAAAAATAGAAATAATTTCTATTCTGATTTTCTGCATTCACTTGAGACCAACCATGGTCACCAAGGAGCTAGAGATCCTGGAATTTTCTTGATGGGAGCTCAAGTTTCCTGCAGTTAGAGTGGGAATGGTACATCAAAAGATCATCTCATTCAGGTCCTTCATTTAGAGGAAGCCGAGGTCCAAGGAGATGAAGTGATTTGGCCATGATCATAAGGAAGTGGTAAAACCAGCATTATGAATATGGGTCTTTTGAATGTCCAGATCCAGAGCTTTCCTCACTATATCTTGTTGATATTTTAGCCTATTGTAAAATTCTGTTGAGCCAGCCATGAAGGAATATGGAATAAAGAAGAAAGAGAGATTCAGAAAGAGTCAGGAAGGCTGGGATTTAATTCCATTTCTGCTGCTACTCTGTGACCTTGAGCAAATCACCTCCAGGCCTTGGTTTTTACATCTTTACAATGAGAGAGGTCTGGACTAAGGGATCACTAAGAGTCCTAGCGGTGTCATGCAGTGTCCCTATGATTCTAGGTCTGTTGGAAACCAGATGTACTTTTCTTCCATGATTTATCTAACTTGTTTTCTTGCACATTTTTTTTCCAGACCTGTGATTTCATCATTGTAAGGAGTTTCTTGTGAGAAACTCAAGACTATCAATGCAGATATCACCTGTTTGTTAATTTATAATCTTAGAGAGATGCCTGACCACTGAGAGTTTTAAGGGAATCACATAAGGTTGAAGGTTGCCAGTGTAGGTCAAAGGCAGTATTTCAACCCAAGTTTTCATGATCATGAGGTCTGTTCTCTCTACATTGGCTGTCAGGCAATTGTTAATGCCTTGTATTTATTTGTGCATTTAAACAAAGTGGTCCTGATTGGCCGTGGAGACAAAAAGCTTCTTACTGACAGAAATTCCCTTTCACCTGCTAGTTTTTAACCATTCTCTTTCTTTTCAAATGCATCATTTAATCAGTTTAATCAAACAACTGTTGTTGTTCAGTCATTTCCAGTGTGTCTGACTCATTGTGACCCCTTTCAGGGTTTTCTTGGCAAAGATACTGGAGTAGTTTACCATTTTCTTCTCCAGGTCATTATACAGATGAGGAACTGAGGCAAACAGGGTTAAGTGACTTGCCCAGGGTCACACAGCTAGTAAGTATCTAAGGCTGGATTTGAACTTGGGAAGATGAGTCTTCCTGACTTCAAGCCTGGCACTTTATCTGCTGAGCCACCTAGTTGCCCCTAATCAAGGATAATATAATAATAAAATCTGATACTTGGGTCTGTGATAAATGTGCTTTTCAAAGGCAGCAGTCATTAATGACTGACCAGGTCTGCTAGGAGTGAGATTACTATATATTGTAGTAGGAAGAACATTGATTGGATTTGGATGCAGGGAACCAGGGTTTGTGTCTTGGCACAGCCATGTAAAATCTGTGTGACTTTGGGCAAATTGGTTAATTTCTCTGGGAATCAGTTTTTCATCTGCAAAATGAGGTGGGGTGGTGGATGAGATGTATACTAATGTCCCTTGAGATTTCATGATGCACTCTTAAGAGGAGATGAGACTTAGGCCCACTGATTTTCTGAACTCTAATGAGCTTGAAATGTTGTTTAATTAGCTGACATTTATGTAGGTTTAACGTTCGAAGGTACCTTACATGTGTTATCTATCTGATCTTCATAAGAAACCTGTGAAATAGGTGCTCTTATTTTGATGACAGTGTTGCTTTGGTGAAAAAGAAAATCAGAAGGTACTGTGTTTGATTTTGTTTCCTTGAATAATGTATGTGAGTAGAGCTTGGTATTTACAGGATATATAAAGGCAGTAGAAGGGTTGACAAATGTTGCTTTTTTTAAAGCCCAAATTCTGGCTTTTAGAAGAAATAATTCGTCTTCCTATCCCTCTGCCTGGGGTCTAGGCAGCAGCTTTCTGCTTTTGCAGATGTGGAGGCAATAAGAGTTGAAGTCCTGCCAAATGTGGCTAAAATGTTTATCTCTGTAACCTTGTATGTGTGCACGTAGCCATGTGCTGGCTCTCCCTACTGAAACACAATCTAGCTGAGTGTCTTTTGTGTTTCCCACTCTCTTTGTTTGGACCCAACCCCTCAAGTCCACAGCTGACTTTTGCAATCATTTATTAATTGGCCAAGATCATAGGCCACTTACTGCAGTTGTCAGCATTGTCAATAAAATACCGTGTCAGTAACACAGAGGGAAAACTGAAGATTAAACTGATTTAAGAAAATGTGAAGTTTCTGCCCTGAAGAATATGTAGTCCACCAGAAATCAGATGGTACAAGCAGAAAAGAATGGGGTAATGTGATCCTGGCAACTTTTTAGCTGAAAATTTTAGACTAATAGGGAATTGGAGAGATGGGGTCTTTCTACAGGTTGATGTTGGTAGTATTTTAGGAATTCTGAGTTTGAGGAAAAGGGGGTGCTATGTGGTAGTGGGGAGTAGTGGGCTGTTTGGAAGAGGGATATTGGAGCAGAACAGATGAAACTGAAGAGTGGGATGGGGGAGGTCGATCAGGAGGGCCTATATATGAGACTAGAGAGTTTCTGAAAACTGGAAAAATTGCATTAGTGTTTAACATCCATGTCCCTTTGAATTGGAGCTCTCTGCTCCTTTAACCTCTGCTCGCTTCCCCTTTCTTCCTCTGGTAAAAGTTTGAGGAAGAGAGAGAAGTGATCAGTGACTTGGAAGGAAGATGAGCTTGCTGGTAGAATTTTGGAAACTCTGGAGAGGGCAAAGGAAAACATTGGGAAATTTTGAAAGCACAGGGATGCCTGCCTAGGAGAGCCTAGGGAAGGCTGATCAGAAAGGAGGAGAGGATATAGATGTCTTTGTTTTGTATAAAAGAGGAAAGAAGGATTCAAGATTTCAGACTATTGATGCAGAGATTGGAAGATGCCAGTTTGTAGTTTTAAATTTTTATACAGAGAGTTGTTTGTTTGGGAAATAGAGGCTGAACAGGTAAAGGAGAAAATGGTTAAGTGAAAGGGCAGCTCAGGTTGGAAAATATTGAATTGATTTGATGGAAGTCCAGCCCTCAAACTGTGACCTGTTGATTTTACTTTAGCAAGTCCAAACACGGGCCTACATCTGGATTCCTGGGTAGTCTAGAACCTCCCTGAATTTCCTTTTAAAAATTTCCCATATCAAGTTACTTTTTTTGCGTTGAGCTGTGAATATGATAGGACATGACTTTGTTTCTGCTTTAACGTAATAGCAAGTTTATTATATTCCTACCCTCAGTTAAGATTTTTCTTTTTCCCCTTGCAGAACTGTTAAAGGCAGAGTAATGTCTATTTTTCTGCTGTTGTATCAAATCACAATGAGACTTCTCTGCTATTTCTTTATGTAGGAGAGGGTCTTGCAAAACAGAGGGATGTTTAGGTCAAGATTTTTATACTCAAAAATATACCCTTAATAGTATACAGAGACCCTTGTACATTGTATAGGAAGGATAAGGTAAGGAAGACATTTTCTCTCATCCATGATTTTTCTTGGGAATTAGGAATATAAATACTTTCCTCATTATCTTTATTATTCATAGGCCAAGTGGGATAGAAAGATTGGAGACCCTTTGGCCTCTGCTTAGTGCTCTATAACAAAGAACTTTAAGTGACATTCATTCATTCATCAAAAATTTCTTGAGCACCCACTAATGTGTTAAGCACTGTAAGGATTACAAAGATAAATCAAAGATGGTCTCTGTCATCAGAGCTTACAGTCTAGCAGAGAAAGAGCTGGAGGGAGACTGTCTTCCCACTTCACATTGGAATGTATTTTTTTTTTCCTTGAGCCACATAGGAGAAAATCTAGCCGACTGCTTGAGCCACAACACATTGACTTTGTCAATTTCTTGGATTTTAGCTGTGTTTATGAAACACTTCCAGATTTGTAGTAAGTCTTCAGAGCCTTTAGGACTTGAATGTGTGTCAAGGGAAGTCTGGAGTCTGTAGGGTATGTTGGTACAACAGGGAGAGGACAGCTCTGAACC